CTTATAGCATGAAGACTTAAAGCAGGGTGAAACAGTTCGAGGCTATTTTGAGACGCAAAGAGAACTGCCTGCCTGAATTCCTCTATTACTTTGAAGACAGCTGACAAATGACGACGTTTCATTTCTAGTGTATCCACTTCTGTTTAACAGCCTCATAACTAAATGTGAAGCAAATGAAAAGCAGAGCTCACACCTTCATATCTCCGTATAACCGTGAAGATAATGGCACTAAGTGGCCTTCTGCTAGTGCTATTAATAATAGTCTGGCTATATCGGAAAACATATGCTCAGCTGCAAGAAAGAGGAGAGTTCATGTACGTGTGTGTGTGTGTGTGCGTGCGTGCATGTGTGTGCACGTGTATATGTGCATGGCCTTGCAGAAGTGTCAATGTGTCAGGTCTAAATTTAAAGAGTTGTCCGGCTGTGCGGTGCGTTTGTGAAATGTTCTTTAAGTGTTTTGCTTCAGATCTGTTTCCATAGCTGCCAAATGATGATGTCAAAGCAGAGGCATTGGAATAAATTTTTTTAAAAAAACACACCCCCTTTTTTAACGGAAATCACAGTTGGAGGGAGACGGAAAATACTGTTCAGTTGTAGCCAGAACCGATTACACACAGAAAATATGCTGAACACAACACACACTGTACAGTAGGTTAAAATACTACAGGAAAACTTAGGAATATTTCTCCTTATCTTACAGCAAATCCTGATCCTTTACGATGCCAAACGGATGACTGTGTGTGGAGAGATAACAGGAGAGCTGTGGCATTCAATCAGCAGAAGACAATGGCTAAAGGCTGATAGCAGTATGTTCACCCTTAACTAACATCATAGGTCATGGGTTTTCTGACTATCCAGAAACCAAAATCAAAGTGGTGTGGGTGACTTTTTCTGTAGAGTTGCAAAGATAAGTAATCTATTTAGATGATATTTTTACATGCAATAAAATGTCAATAAATGATGCTTTTCACTTCATGTTAAAGTTTTTCCCCCACTTTGGGGAAGCCTCTATAACTCTGACTTTGAGAAACTGGAATGGACACTTTCCCCAATTTTGTAACCTTTCATAGACATTAATCTGCACTTAGTTTCAGTTCTATTTATAGCTTTGGTTTTACCTTGAATTCTCAATGTTCCTTAGATACTAAAAAGTGGTGCCGTCCTGCTTTGCCAACAAAGGTCATTTCTTTCCTCTAGAAAATGCCATCCATGTTTATATTTCCTACAGACTTGATTATTTAAATGCAGAAGTCTCAACATCACAGCTATCCTTTCAACTCACTGGTTACCTTTGAGTTATAGAATCTACTTTTTTGTTCGTAAAGTCTTGAATAGTCTCCTGTCTATATTTGTGATTTGTTAACTCCCTTTGAGCCTGTCCCTTTAGATCCTCTGAAGTCCCGTTACTCTTGGTAAAAAAAGCTGTGCAGAAATTGTGACATAAACCTCTGTCTGTATGAAGTCACCTCTCTGCGAAAACTCCTTAAGACTTTGGGAAATAACATACGCTGTTGCAACTAATAATGCAATTTTATTTCAATTTCAGACTGTTTATTTCAAGTGTCTTCATTTCTCTTATGTACATTGCCTTGAATTTTTTATGCTGCTGCAACGCAAACATTTCCCAAATTGGGATCAATCAATCTATCCATCCATCCAGCGTTTTTATATGTACAAAAGTGCACAAAAAACGTAGGTGTCTATATAAGCTTCTTCAGTGACGTGCAGTGAGGTCCATGGCTGGTGAGGCACTGGCTCTGACTCTTCAGGTTTACAAATATTATATTTTGACCTAAATCAAAATATAATATTATTTTCAAAAGCTTTTTTGGTCTGATGCTTCGAATAATTTTAAACAGACAGTTCAACAAAAGGATACCCAACATTTGTAATTTTATCATTTAAATATTGAATTGTTCTCTCTAAGATCCCATTTTCAATAAAATTGCAGTCTTACCTTGACTTGAAGATGAAGTCCATTTGCCTATCCCTCTGGACAAAAATCTCTATTACTTTTTTGTAAAAGTCCTCCTTTACTTCTTGTAGTTTCAAAAGTCTATCATAAATCTAATCGATAGATTTATGATTCGAAAATGATAAAAGTAGGGTAGACATGTGGATATTATCCGGCAGAACAAAAACGTGCATTTATCTAACTAACAGCTACGTTTCCCACAGATCTTATTTGGAGCTATTTTCTAAAATCCTATGGAGAAATGTCATTGCTTTTTTGTCGAGGGAAGCCATGCACAGCTTACTTCCGGGTTTTAGGACGCCTCACTGCAGCTCTCTCGTCTCCTCTTCACACACCACACTTTTCGCGGCACACGTACGTACAGCCAATCAGCTCTGAATGATGTGAGATGACGTATGGTGGGGATGGCAGCTCAGTGCCCCTATGGTCATTATTTTATTTTTTTGCCACACACATTAAATAGGAAAATACTCTGAGCATGCGCAATGTAGTTTTTACAGTCACCATTGACTTAGACAGTGAGAGGGAGGGGCATGATCGGGTTTTGTCCCACATGGCTCAAAACGTCTCAATAGGCACACACTGTAGACACTAATTAGAAGAACACAGACGAAAACAGCAATATACAGACGAATCAGATGATTAAACATGATCTTAAAATATATTTTATAATTTATTTTTTTGTAATCATTATTTTTAATACTTTCTGCTGACACTAGGTGGGGCTGTGTGGGCTACCTACCTACCTACCTACCTACCTACCTACCTACCTACCTACCTACCTACCTACCTACCTACCTACCTACCTACCTACCTACCTACCTACCTACCTACCTACCTACCTACCTACCTACCTACCTACATCCATCCACCTACCGACCGACCTATCTATCTATCTATCTATCTATCTATCTATCTATCTATCTATCTATCCATCTATCTATCCATCCGTCCGTCGGTCCGTCTGTCTATCTATCTATCTATCTATCTATCTATCCATCTATCTATCTATCTATCTATCTATCTATCTATCTATCTATCTATCTATCTATCTATCTATCTATCTATCTATCTATCTATCCATCGGTCTGTCTATCTATCTATCTATCTATCTATCTATCTATCTATCTATCTATCTATCCATCTATCTATCTATCTATCTATCTATCTATCTATCCATCTATCTATCTATCTATCTATCTATCTATCTATCTATCTAAACCATGCGGATCTCAGAAGCTCCTGTCTCTTTCTCAATAACATATATTCAGTCACATGGTTTCAGATGACACTCCAGTACATGACAGGCTTTTCTAAAAACCAAGACGTGACTTCGGAGGGAAAGTCTGGACTCCCAATATAATCCGCCTTTCTCTCAACCACGCCTTGAATTCTGCTCAGGACCTAAAAACAGAGTGAGGAGTGAGACCCCTTTCAGGATTAGAGCTCTGAACCATCAAGTGCCCCCAACAGCTGTGACCCCCCCCCCCCCTTTCTATGGATTACCCCCATCAGACTTCAGATAGAAATACGAGCAGAGTTCATGTTGCCGCGTCCACTTTTGGCCCCTGGTTCATCCCAGAGGCTTCAGGAGAATCAGCTAAACCAACAGGGCCTAATTCAGATCTTTATTAAAGGTCTCATTTCAGAGATGAGTCGTTCGCTCTCCACGAGAACTCTTCCCACACGAGTCGCCCGAATCAGATCCACGCTGTAATTAGACAGAAATACATGTGCATCACACATTTAGTGAGCAAGTGTGTGTGAGCTGTGAAAATAAGCCTTGGGTTTATTATGGGAAATGTTTATTTGGGAAAACCAGTGGCTGATTATATTCCTGGTTTTGATTCTTGGGAAGAAGCTGGAGAGAAAATATCAAAACAGAATAAATCTAATCAGAATCTGCTTTTTGTTTCACGGAGGGAACATTGGGAAAATAAATGAAGTAGGCTAACATATTAAATAAAGAGGCAAGCACACATGTGATACAAATTGGTTGATTATATACATATTTGTATTTTATTTTGTCTTTTTATCTGTCTTAAATAACTTTAACTTCTTATGCTTGAATACATATCTTAATTTTTGTCAATCTTGTATTGCACATTATTTCTTTAATATGGTCAAATAAACATTTGTATTTTATTTTATCTTTTCATTGGAATTGTTACTATAACTTCTTGTGTTTAAATAAATAGCTTAAGTTTTACTGTACATTCTTAATTACCTTCTTATGTCGTTAACACTATCTTTGATTGTATGTAGTGTAGCACTCCACACTTTATTTTCCATTAGTTTACAGAAAGGTCGGAACAACTTCATCACATGCTACTCAAGCTAGAATGACAACAAACCACAGGTGCGCTCGCTAACATGTCCGTGTCACAACACACTCTATAACACAGTGAAGTATGTCCCGTAATGTTCCACCACAGTAGTTTATTTGACTTAAAAGAAGATTTCTTAATTTGTATTAAGCACACTCATACTTTAACTTACCTTCTTATGTTTTTATACATATTTTTTAATAAATGTTTGTATTTATTGACTATGTATTTCATTCAGCAACTGTCACAAAACCCTCTGTCCTCGTTGATAAATTATGATAAATGACGTATTTTGATTATGTTACGAAACCAGGATAAAAAATAAGATGCATTGTAAAAAGTTAGTGCCAGTTAAAAGTATATATTGCATTAAAAGAGTGCATAAATCCTGCATTTCAGTGACAACCTGCAGAGATAAAGAGCTGCAGGATTATCCTTCATTGACTTTAACAGCAGCTACAGCCACATAAGATAACAGCGAGATAAAATCGAAAGCAGGATTTGGGTGCATTGTTCCTCTGGTTAATAATCCTCCGGATAAGAAAGTCTCTAAACTGAAAAGTGACCACATTTTAAACCACAAAGTAAACATGTTCTCAGAGACAGGTCAATGGATTAGAAGTGTCCTCCTCTTTTTTTTTAGGAAACCACAGACTCCTCCTCCTCTGTGGGAACTCCCTTCAGCTGAGGAGGAGAGAGAGGAGGTTTCCCGCAGATCATTGAGGACGCGCAGAGGAGCGTTTAGACACCAAGCGAAGAGTCACAGGGATGCACTTTTAGCCCCAAATACACCTCTGTTTTCACGCTTCATCTGTGGACTCAACACTTGGACACTTTCCCCGTCTTCAAACCCAACTTTAGTGGATTAATTATTTAAAAAATGCGCTTGGAACGGTTCCGCGTAAAGACGCCGGGGACTGGAGCCATGCTCGCCCGCTGCCTGCTCTCTTTCTGCGGGCTTCTGCTCTCTGTTTCCCGGCCCGGGGAGGCGTTCAACCTGGATGTGGAGAACCCGGCTGTGTACACCGGACCAAATGGGAGCTACTTCGGATACTCTGTGGACTTTTATTTGGCTGATTCTGCCAGGTGAGTCCCTTTTTAAAACACACTTTTTATATTCAAAATGTAACTTTTTAAGCAACAAGTTCCTCCACGCTGAAACATTTAGAAGAAAGTGAACACCGTTTTGTGCGCAAACTTTCCCCCTGTTTTAAGGTTTTTACAAAAGGGAATCATGTGTGGGAGACTTGTTTAATCAGCTTTTGTGCCAATGCTGTGATCTCTGTCTGCACACAGCTCTCTGTAATTCAATCAATTCAGGAAATTGCATTGTGCAAGTCCTACGTTAATATAAAAGAGTGGCTATCATCATAAAACCCACAGACCTTTTCGATCCCTTCTTTAAATCCCGATCTTGTTGCCCTACCAAATGACATTTATTTCTGACCTTTTAACCTGAAAAGCCTTTTAGCTGCAGTCTCTCTCTGTGACACCCAGCTGCTCTGATTGTCTCGCATTCCTCCCTCTGAGATTTCTGGCATTTTTTAAGCAACTTAAACTGATGCATGCATGCCTGTGGTGAGGTCTAATACTCTGTGAGGAGAAATAACATGTCTGAGAGTTTATATCAGAGGAAAGAAAGCTGCATTTCTGCTACACATTGCAGAGGATCAGTGTTGTAAGAAGATCCTTTACTTAAGTCAAAGTACAAATACTATGGTCTTAAAATACTCCACTACACATAAAAGTCTTCATTTAAAAATGTACTTAAGGTACAAAAAGTAAAAGTACTCATTCTGCATGATGGTCCATTTCAGAATAATATGAAATACACAATAAGTGACCCCTGGATCTTTTCACATTACATTGTACGGGTTTTTTAATATTATCCTGTTTTTATACTTGCAAGAGCAATTACATATTGTAGTTTGTCAATGTGCACCAAATGTAAATACTTCAACTACTGTGTGTATTATGTACTGCATCGTCAGCATATCACATGTTTTTATATAAAGTATCTGTGAGGGTTATATACATGTAATGGAGTAAAAAGTACAATATTTGCCCTAAGATGCACTTAACTAAAATACTTGAGTACATGCACTTAGTTATTCTCCCCCACTGCAGAGGATGGGCTCCAGCTCTGTGTTACTCATCAGGAAAGTACTGCATTGTCAGCATATGACATGTTTTTATATGTTCAAAGTATCTGTGAGTGTTAAATAAATCTACTGGAGTAAAAAGTACAATATTTGCCCCAGGATGTATTTAACTAAAATACATGTACTTAGTTACTCTCCCCCACTGCAGAGGATGGGCTCCAGCTCTGTGTAATACTCGTCAGGAAAAAGGGCTTTTCTTTCCCTCAGACTTCCTGGCTGAGTCTGTGTCTGCAGAGCTACACCAGCGAGCACGCTGGGATTTCAGAGAGGGCTTTGTGCCGAGAAGCAGCTCTGGTTTCCCTGTTTCTCCTCCCCCACTCCCCCCCCCCCCCCCCCCCTTATATCTCCCCCTGACCCTGTCTCTTTAATAAACCATTCCTGGGAAGCAGGGGATTCACTTCAGGATGGAGGGATGATTTATTATAATGATAATAATACATTTCATTTATATAGCACACTTTAAAAACAACGTCACCTAAAGGTGCTATCTAAGGAGCATATTGAATAAAATATGGTAACATAAAAAAAGGTTAGAAATAAAATAAAGGCCAGTCAGTAAAATGCGGTGCGGAACAGGAGGGTCTTCAGGCTTCTTAAAAACTGAGAGATGCAGAAGTCTGTTCTCTGGAAAGTGATTCCACAGATGATTTATGGATTCATGAACCCCTCTTCTTCCTCACTTCCTCCTCTGCTGATGATGTCATTCTGAAGGGATTTTTAATTCTCCCCCCACCTCCACCACTGTCTAGCCTCCCCCCCACCCCCCCCCATATCATCATCTTCTCCTCGGCTCACTAACTGTGAGACACGCTGAGCTCACGTCATCCTTCTGATGACTTAATCTGAACTTCTCTCCGTGCTCCTGGGGGGAGGCGGTGAGATAATGTGCGGGACAGGAATGATGTTGAAGCCTCGTCTCACTGCCCTGTAATTCACAGTGGTGTAATGCAATAAAGTACATTTACTCAAGTACTGTACTTCAGTATGAGTTTGTAGTACTTGTATCCAAGCAAAAATAGATTTCTTTACTCCACTACAGTTTTCTGTATCTATATTTAGACGCTATTTTACTAAAAGGGGTCCTCTCCTGCTGATGTTCAGGTATATATTAGTATGTAGTGTCTCTACTTTAAAGAGTCCTCTCCTGCTGATGTTCAGGTATATTAGTATGTAGTGTCTCTACTTTAAAGAGTCCTCTCCTGCTGATGTTCAGGTATATTAGTATGTAGTGTCTCTACTTTAAAGAGTCCTCTCCTGCTGATGTTCAGGTGTATAGTATATCAGTATGTAGTGTTTCTACTTTAAAGAGTCCTCTCCTGCTGATGTTCAGGTATATATCAGTATGTAGTGTCTCTACTTTAAAGAGTCCTCTCCTGCTGATGTTCAGGTGTATATCAGTATGTAGTGTTTCTACTTTAAGAGTCCTCTCCTGCTGATGTTCAGGTGTATAGTATATCAGTATGTAGTGTTTCTACTTTAAAGAGTCCTCTCCTGCTGATGTTCAGGTGTATATCAGTATGTAGTGTCTCTACTTTAAAGAGTCCTCTCCTGCTGATGTGCAGGTGTATATCAGTATGTAGTGTTTCTACTTTAAAGAGTCCTCTCCTGCTGATGTTCAGGTGTATATCAGTATGTAGTGTTTCTACTTTAAAGAGTCCTCTCCTGCTGATGTTCAGGTGTATAGTATATCAGTATGTAGTGTTTCTACTTTAAAGAGTCCTCTCCTGCTGATGTTCAGGTGTATAGTATATCAGTATGTAGTGTTTCTACTTTAAAGAGTCCTCTCCTGCTGATGTTCAGGTGTATATCAGTATGTAGTGTCTCTACTTTAAAGAGTCCTCTCCTGCTGATGTTCAGGTGTATATCAGTATGTAGTGTTTCTACTTTAAAGAGTCCTCTCCTGCTGATGTTCAGGTGTATATCAGTATGTAGTGTTTCTACTTTAAAGAGTCCTCTCCTGCTGATGTTCAGGTGTATATCAGTATGTAGTGTGTCTACTTTAAAGAGTCCTCTCCTGCTGATGTTCAGGTGTATATCAGTATGTAGTGTCTCTACTTTAAAGAGTCCTCTCCTGCTGATGTTCAGGTGTATAGTATATGTGTATGTAGTATCTCTACTTTAAAGAGTCCTCTCCTGCTGATGTTCAGGTATATTAGTATGTAGTGTCTCTACTTTAAAGAGTCCTCTCCTGCTGATGTTCAGGTATATTAGTATGTAGTGTCTCTACTTTAAAGAGTCCTCTCCTGCTGATGTTCAGGTGTATAGTATATCAGTATGTACTACATACTGATATACACCTGAACATCAGCAGGAGAGGACTCTTTAAAGTAGAGACACTACATACTGATATACACCTGAACATCAGCAGGAGAGGACTCTTTAAAGTAGAAACACTACATACTATGTAGTGTTTCTACTTTAAAGAGTCCTCTCCTGCTGATGTTCAGGTGTATATCAGTATGTAGTGTCTCTACTTTAAAGAGTCCTCTCCTGCTGATGTTCAGGTGTATATCAGTATGTAGTGTTTCTACTTTAAAGAGTCCTCTCCTGCTGATGTTCAGGTGTATAGTATATCAGTATGTAGTGTTTCTACTTTAAAGAGTCCTCTCCTGCTGATGTTCAGGTGTATATCAGTATGTAGTGTCTCTACTTTAAAGAGTCCTCTCCTGCTGATGTTCAGGTGTATATCAGTATGTAGTGTCTCTACTTTAAAGAGTCCTCTCCTGCTGATGTTCAGGTGTATATCAGTATGTAGTGTTTCTACTTTAAAGAGTCCTCTCCTGCTGATGTTCAGGTGTATATCAGTATGTAGTGTTTCTACTTTAAAGAGTCCTCTCCTGCTGATGTTCAGGTGTATATCAGTATGTAGTGTCTCTACTTTAAAGAGTCCTCTCCTGCTGATGTTCAGGTGTATATCAGTATGTAGTGTTTCTACTTTAAAGAGTCCTCTCCTGCTGATGTTCAGGTGTATATCAGTATGTAGTGTTTCTACTTTAAAGAGTCCTCTCCTGTTGATGTTCAGGTGTATATCAGTATGTAGTGTCTCTACTTTAAAGAGTCCTCTCCTGCTGATGTTCAGGTGTATATCAGTATGTCGTGTCTCTACTTTAAAGAGTCCTCTCCTGCTGATGTTCAGGTGTATATCAGTATGTAGTGTCTCTACTTTAAAGAGTCCTCTCCTGCTGATGTTCAGGTGTATATCAGTATGTAGGGTCTCTACTTTAAAGAGTCCTCTCCTGCTGATGTTCAGGTGTATATCAGTATGTAGTGTCTCTACTTTAAAGAGTCCTCTCCTGCTGATGTTCAGGTGTACATCAGTATGTAGTGTCTCTACTTTAAAGAGTCCTCTCCTGCTGATGTTCAGGTGTATGTCAGTATGTAGTGTCTCTACTTTAAAGAGTCCTCTCCTGTTGATGTTCAGGTGTATATCAGTATGTAGTGTCTCTACTTTAAAGAGTCCTCTCCTGCTGATGTTCAGGTGTATATCAGTATGTAGTGTTTCTACTTTAAAGAGTCCTCTCCTGTTGATGTTCAGGTGTATATCAGTATGTAGTGTCTCTACTTTAAAGAGTCCTCTCCTGCTGATGTTCAGGTGTATATCAGTATGTCGTGTCTCTACTTTAAAGAGTCCTCTCCTGCTGATGTTCAGGTGTATATCAGTATGTAGTGTCTCTACTTTAAAGAGTCCTCTCCTGATGATGTTCAGGTGTATATCAGTATGTAGTGTCTCTACTTGAAAGAGTCCTCTCCTGCTGATGTTCAGGTGTATATCAGTATGTAGTGTCTCTACTTTAAAGAGTCCTCTCCTGCTGATGTTCAGGTGTATATCAGTATGTCGTGTCTCTACTTTAAAGAGTCCTCTCCTGCTGATGTTCAGGTGTATATCAGTATGTAGTGTCTCTACTTTAAAGAGTCCTCTCCTGA